AAATTATTCAAATTGCTACTCAGCTGCCAACATGGACATCTTCAGAAGTAGCCAACGAAGGTGACAGACAAGGAAGTATGTTCCAGAGGGTATAGTCAAGAGCCACAGAGATCAGTGGAGCAGGAACCCCCTCCCAGTGAGTAAATTCTAGACCCAATTAAGAAATACACCCTCACCTGGGATATTTAGACTTGTAAACATCTGCCCAGCTGGAGTTGAGAATTGCTGTGTTTAAGGATGACTATGTGTCTCTTGTTCTTCCCTTTTTTTACTTTGTTTTGTTTTGTTTTTGTTTTTTGAAACAGAGTCTTGCTCTGTACCCAGGCTGGAGTGCAGTGGTGCCATCTCAGCTCACTGCAACCCTTTCCTGGGCTCAAGTGATTCTCCTGCCTCAGCCACCTGAATAGCTGGGACTACAGGCTTGCTGCCCCAGGCCTGGCTAATTTTTGTATTTTTAGTAGGTTGGTCTCGAACTCCTGGCCTCAAGCGATCTGCCTGCCTTGGCCTCCCAAAATGCTGGGATTGCAGGTGTGAACAACCATGCCTGGCTGTTCTCCCCTTTTTTAAATGGAAGTGTCTATTGAGGTTATCCTGCCTTTGTCTCAATGTACAGTAGGTATGTGGGAGGCAAATAACTTGTCTTTAATTCATAGGTGTCAGGATTAGGAAGAACAACCTCCACCATGTCATATACAAATCTGATGTGGATCACAAGATCCTAGTCTTCAATCCTAATGACATAATTGCAGGAGGTGCTTGGGGATCTTGGGATGGTGGTAAGCATATTTTTCCTGTGGGAGGAATGTGAATAATTAAGCTCAGAGAGTAAACTGCGGTAGATTACAAAATTGGCCACAACCTTTCCATCCTCCCCGACTTTATACTCTGAGTTGTGACTTTGCAGCATCCCCCATCAAGAGATGGAGACTACTTCTCCTCCCCTTAAACCTGAACTGACCTCATGACATTTTTGGCCAACAGAATGCAGCAGAGAGATGGTATAAATTCTCTGTCTAAGCCTCAACATGCATTGCATGTCTCAGCTCTTTCTTTTGAAGTCCTGTCCCACTACTCATATGAAATGACCTGAGCTAGCCTTCTGGAGGACAAGAGATCACATGAAATAGATATGAGCCATCCCAGCAGAAGTTATTCTACATTACCCAGGAACCAGCCAATTGAGCAGCTGGCCTCAGACTCATGAATAAACTCATCCAAGACCAGGTGAACAACTCACCTAAGCTTAGCACAAATTGTTGACTTGCAGAATTGTGAGCTATATAAATACTTGCTGTTTTAAACCACAAAGTCTTTGGGTATAGTTTGTTATTTGGCAAAAGCTAACAAATTAAAATAAATTGAACAAATATAGGAGTCAAAGCATGAAATTGGATGGAGAAGGGCTTAAAAGGAAAGGGAACTATGTGAGACAAATGAGAAAGAGTGCTGACCTTTGTTGTTCTAGATGGTGGGTACATGGGTGTTTGTTGTATCCTTCCCTCTAATTTTCTTTAAAGTTTTTATCACTAAAAAAACTAGATTAAATTATAACTTTAACGTAAAAAGAATACATGTTGGAGTTCGAAAGGCTATGGCTCTGTCTCCTGTCCACACTCTCATTAGGTGATTATACTCATTTCCACAGCTTTAAATACTTTGGTATGTTGATAACTTCCAAATTTATATGTTTAGCTCAGGCCTCTCTTCTGAGATTCCAGACTCATATTTCCAGTTGCCTGCTTGACATTTACACTGGAATGTCTCTCAGGTGTCTCAAATATGACTTGTTTAAAATCGATTATTTAATCTTTCCCTCCACTGTGGCCAGTCCCCAGGATAGCCCCCAGTGATCCCTGCCTTGGGTGCTCACACTGTATGTCCCTTTCACACTATAGCAGGATTGATATGTGTTACCATAGAATTGTGCAGAAGTGACAGTGTGTGACTTCCAAGGCTAGGTCGTAAAAGACACTGTGGCCTTACTCTTTCTCCGGATCACTCACTCTGGAGGACACCAGCTGCCCTGTCACAGAGACACTCAAGCAGCCCTACAGAGAGGTCCATGTGGTAGGGAACTGAGGCCTCTTGTCAACAGCCATGTGAGTGGGCCATCTGCCCACTCCCGCTTTCCTTATTTAGCTCAGGTTAGCTGAAGCCTGGCTGGAAGACATTCAGCAAGTCACAAACACGACTGCCTCCCAGGCGTCACTCAGATAGTCCCTCTGCCTGGAGTTGAATTTCTATATATGCCATGTACCCCTCCCCACCCCTTTGCTTACCACAGCCTACTTGCCTTTAAAAATCCAGTTCAAATTCCACCTTTTTTTTTTTTTTGCTGAGGACTTATGATATTGCTTGGCTTGGTGCTGGGTGCTGGGTGCCGGGGGTACTGCACTGAGTCAGCCGATTCCAGCCCTTAGGGAGCTCTCAATCCACTGAGTGAGTCCAATTATTCAGTCTGGTCTGGGAAGTGCTGCAACACAGGTGCAAAGGGAGAAGCAAAGGCGGAGCCCTGCCAGGTTGGTTAGGGCCACAGGCAGGAAAGGCTTTTCTGGAGGGGGTGGTGTTTGAGTTGAGAATAAAAGGGGGATGAGTTGCTGGCTGAGGACCCTCTGCTCCATCTGTTGTGCTGCTTCTCATGTCAGATAGAAATCACAGCTTTCTCTACTCTGCACTGATACCAGCATTCCGTGGGTATTAATTTCCAGAGCTGGTTTTTAAAAAACTAACTGCCCATAGGTGATCAGGAAGAGGAAGGGGACCCAAAGCTGATTATATAAGGAACAGCAGCCAAATAATGCATAGATTGGGAGGTAGGGGGACTGAGTGAAAAGGAAATGGACTTTTTTTTTTTTTATAACACAGAATTTCCAAATGCAAAATGTAGAAGCTGCAGAAGGCAGAGGTCAGCTGAACACAAGAAAGAACTCTCTACTGGCCTTTAAAAGAGAACTAACTAGTTTTGGCACGTTATCCTTGGAGAGGTTCAAACATGTATCCCCATTGGAGGTCACATCATAGAAAATTGTGACAGCTGGGTAAGATGTTTAAACTCTCCAATGGGAATTCTGTTCTGCCACCATCATCCCCCAATGACTCTCATCAGCTGCTGATTGAAGTCCAAGCTCCACAGAGCAGCACAAAGAGCCTTTCACCTCTCCACTCACATCCCTACCCACACCCACACTCAAATTCTAAGAGCAACGCCAAACCACTTGTGCTCTGCACACTTATTCCATGTTCAGTGTTTAAAATGTCCTCCCTTCTCCCTTTGCCTAGTGTTTATTTCCCAACACTCTGTGCTGTCACTGTAGTGGATGTTTGTCACTTTTGTTTGCACTATTATTTCCAATTTGGCAACTTAACTCCCCACTGTGTCTCAATGGAAGGGTAACTAGTAGGCTGCCTCTTACTAGCACTCAGGAGGAAGCTGAGGGAGTCAGATCCTTCATCAACCTCCAGTTGCCGCTAGGAGGCAGGCAATGACAAAAATCCGGCCAACTGGCCCTTCTCTCAAGTCACTTAGAATCCAAAGTCATAAGGAATAGATAAAGGTGATTTATCTGGTGGTATGGGGGCAGTGGCACGGTGTCCTTAACAGGCTGTTTAGGCAGTAACATGGTTGTGTCTTCCTTCCTACTTTTTAGTCCTCTGGAGTACCCTTGCTTCTTGTTTTCAGGTTAGTAAATATGTATGAAATGAATGAGTGAAGCAGAGGGATAAAGGTCAAAGACTTAATCTAAAGCAAATTGTGTGCAAGGTTGGACCGCTTAATGATCAGAAATGGAGGTAGAGAGGGAAATAAACAGGAGAATGGTCGTAGCACTAACAGAAATGAGGGGAAGTGTTGGTTTAGGGAAGACAGAGAGGAAGGCTAGCAAATACCAAATCTATATTATAATCCCCCCTCCAAGACATTTCCATTTATATACATACCAACTCTTCTCCTTTGGTGAGAACAAAAACAAAACCCTATATTTTAGGTTGAGTTAGCTGTGTGGTCTCTATATGTGGGTCTCAAGTCAATGGCATTGCCCTTTACTTCAGAGACTCTTAAAAGAACTTATCAAACAGCACATACCCAGTGGCAGGAGAAATCAAAGATGATTTGGAGGTTTTAAACCAGGAAGATATGGGGCCACTCAGGAAAAGTAGAAAGAAAATGTGGAGCTTGAGATTTCAGCAGATATGTTGAGCAGAGATGGCCCGACAGCAGCAACAAGTCTCTAAAACAGGTGGTATTGCTACATATATTTCTCAGGCAATTCTGCGCATATACAGAATCAAGGATTTAGTGTTTTTCTTCTGCAAGAAGAAACGTGAGATGGGTTCATTCATTTGACAAATATTTATTGGGTGCCTACTGAGGGCCATACACTATTCCAGGCAGTGGTAAAGTAGTGAAAAAGCTACACTCATGAAGACAGGTAATACTACTACTTAAATTGTTCATGTTTATGTGCTTTAAAGAACAATAAACTAGGGAAAGTAGTTAAGAACGTCAGCATGGTTCTCAGAATATTCCATTTAGAAGATGATAAAAGGATCTTGCAGAACATTCCTTTCAGTCATCTTCCCTTTGAGCCTGATCTGGGAAAGGCAGGCAACAGAGACCAGGACCACATACTCATAAGAACCCTTGGAAACTCAGTCCTCCACCAATATTGAAGTGTAGACCTATGGTTACTACTTTGAGGGACTTCCAAACTTTAAACTTCTCTATATTATTATAGTAGCTGGTGCTAACATTGGCAAAGAAATTAGATCAGCTGAAGGAGAGAAAAAGAAAAGAAAAATAAGAACTTTAATGTTAGTTCTCACATCTGGGACTTTTGATAAACCAATCAAGAAATATTTCTTGAGTACTGAGCCAGAATATTCATTTAGCTGCAAAGTAGATTCTAGGGTATGTGATGTGTGCATTTCACAAATATTTTCTGTTTGGATAGTAAACTTTATGAACTACACAGTATCTCAAATAAAAATTACACAGAAACTCATGCCTATGAAGAAACCTGTTTATTACTGATAACACTTCATTTGGCTAAAACCACAGGAACTCCACACACAGATACATAAAGTGCAAATTCTCACAGGCAGTACTTATAATACACCCTGGTGTTTTATAGGGAAAAACAAGATGTTGACAGAACTGTTAAAACAAGGGCACAATTTGAACTACTGCTACACACTTTAGTCAGAAAAATAATTCATTCTTAACTGCATATATCTTATCTGGCATATTCAATGAGGCATACAAAGGGTTTATTCTAGCCTAGAACAACAAGGCCTCACCATACACAGAAGTAGACTCTTGCTTGAGTGTCTCTTGTAAGACACATGATGAATCACAACAATGGACAAAAACATACCAAATAGGATCAAATTAGTTGTGACTCACTTGGAAGGTAGTGCTACTAGGCTCAAAATGGCCACTTAGAGCAGCGATATTAAGTCTACATAGACACCATTGCTTTACCTTCCTGGCCAACACCTTGCTTTGAGTGTAAAATACCAGGCATTATATACAATTTCCACAGAGAGAGATGCTTTGCTCTCTCCAAAAAAAAAAAAAAAAAAACTGAGTATTTAAAGGGATGTCTGCTTAATAAACATCACATTATAAAGTTCAGTAATGGGACTTCATTCAAAAAGCTGAATTAGAAAATTCATTTTTTGATTGTTCCTTAAAGTATTTGCTCCTTTAAAATTCCTTAATTCCTATTATCAGCAATTAAACACTCTATAACAGGTACTAGGTGGTGCGGATATGAAAAACAATAAACCACAATTCCTGCTCTCAGGGGGCTGAGCATCAGGTGGTCCTTCTTAGCCAAGGAATGCCAATAGTAACAGAACTGTTTCACATCAGTTTAGTTTGGCATTAATCCTTCTGAAGGTCAGATTCTAAGGGCAGGAAATAGTCTAGATATGTTCTATGTTTACATATGTTGCACTACAGCCAGTGTATATACCCCAGGGATATGCAGCCTTTGGGGGTGAGGGCTTGGGGGGAGAAAACTGAGCAGCCACGTGATGAACATGGTACTCCTTTGTGGTGGCATAAGTTCCAGTAAAGATTAAAGATATCATTTTTATATTAAAAGTTTTATTATAGAGAATGCAAAATTCACTTACATTTTAAATATACTTCATGTCAGTGGTAGGCTGCTTCTGATTTTGCTCTCAGAACCTCTTCCCACTCCATCATGCCCCTCTGCTTTTAGGGTTATGCTGGTAGAAATTTTGAGCAGCAAACTCTAGGTATGTCACTTTGTCCCTATTTGGTCACTCTACACATTCTTATAGGTTCTCTTTTGTAAGTACATAGTCTTGAATAAACAAAGAGGAACGATAGCTTAATGAATGTACAGTATGGTGAATAAGGTAACCAATAGTCAACACTAACTTTGTTTCCAACTAGAATTAAAGTCATGCTGTGCAAGGAGTCAGACAATGAGCAATTCTCATCTTACTATTTATGCTTCTATGGCTTAGGGTAAGATGCTCTGAGGGACAAACGTGAACAAGATTTCCTGAGAGCTTGTGCTTTGGCTCCCCAAGTACAAGAAAAGCTGAAATAGAATGTTAGATCAATTGCCCATTCATTTCGGTTAGTACAACTCTTTCCCCTTAGTTTCTAGACCAATCTCAGACAAGTGAATTGTAAAAGGCTGTATGTCATAAATTAACATATAGCAGTATCCAGCAGACCAAAACAGATTATGAAATAGATTTAAAATTACTTCCTACAATAAGTCTTAAATATAATGACAACGTTAACAAAATAACCAAAAGTCCATAGACAAATGTAGTTTATGACTAAGTTTAAAGCCTTCTGAACGAATACAGTTGAGATTTCTTATCAGTGAGGTAACAGGGCAGTAGTTCTTCACAGTAACAAAATGTTCAAGGGTGCCTAGGAAAAGAGGGAGGTAGAAAAGGCATAAAATTAAATGTATCCAAGTGGAGTTTGGATTTTTCAAGCATCACTAATATCAATGGAAAATGTGAAAAAAAAAATACTTATAGCAGCAGTTCATAGAACAATTTATCCATTAAACTCCAGCTAATATCTCTGTTGCATCAATTCCAGAAGCAACTTGCTTAAGAAATGGGAGGTCTATTTCCTATATAAAGACATTCCAAAGTATCCAATCTCTTAGAACCTCTCCATCTGCTAAAATTTCTGCATCAAAATAACACTATATATTCAAAACAAAAACCTCAAATAAGCTAAGCCGCTATACATTCTTCAAGATGAACAAAATTTTGTTCAAGTCTCACTTAATTTGCAAGGTTAAATTAAAAATAACTGTCAAGCAGGTAAATTATTCATTGCAGTTAATGCATCAGTTACTCAAAATATACGAAAATTGTTTTGTGAGCTAAATTCTTCTAGATATGGAGTGAAACCAAAATGTTATTTTTAGTGCCCTTTATGACATTTTTTTTCTAACCTGAGTTTAAAAAAAAAAAATGTACTTGGAAAGAAGGACCCTTAGAAAGTCATTTGTATATCCGTTAATTTTAAAACATTTTATTCCCTTAAAAACAAAAACAGATTTTGAATAGAAGATATTATAAAGATTCCTCCTCAAGAAGTTCCTAAATATTAAACTTTTCATACTGTCTTTAAAAAATCCTCATTCCCTCTGGTTCTGTCTTAACTAGAGAAGGAGAACACTATGGCATGGTGTTTCTTACTTTGACCTTTCAATAAAAGACTTAATAAAGCTTTATTAGCAAACTTAGCAAACTATCTCAACAGCTTTCTCCTCTCCAGAGTCAAACAGTCTTTATTCCTTGAACTTTTTCTCAGAGGTCTTATTTTCTAATCTATATTTTCTTCGTTTTTATTTCTGCTCTATCTCTTCCTGAGTTCTCACATGATTCTGACACAACATCCTAGCAGGAACTGAATCCATAAAAGAGATACTTTTTCTCACCTCCTACAACTTGGCCTAATTTTAATGATCACAATAAAGGAAAATGGTAGGTGCATATTCATCATAACAACAAATAAACACAAGTAGACAGGTGGACACAGTTTATTCCCTACTGTTATGGTGTTACATTTGCCCTTCACAAGAAGCATTTCCTGTGCCGCCTTATTGAAGCATTTCCTTTGCCTCTTTATATTGTTGGGTTATTTCTGCTACTTATTTTCAAAGTATACTTTGATCTTGCCCTACTAATTATTTCCTTTCTCTAAAGCTCTAGAAAATTCCAGTTTTGACTTACATGCTTAATGAAAATGCAATCATTTTCACAATATTGTTCAAAATGAAAAAGATAAACAATGTGGTGCCGAAGGCTGAGACCTCCTAGTCAGCACTTCTGTCTCTCTTGGTCAGCTTGGGCTATCACTGAATTTATCCTGTTAGGCAAATGTGCACCTACTACGTCAAGTTCATGTTAAGTATCATGCTCAGACAGACTAATGACAGGCTAGAATAATTACCTCAATTGATATACTTCAGAAACATTTGTAAAATTTTGTTAACTTTAACTCTGAACTTCAAAATTTTTGAAATAAGAATCCTTCAATAACTCTTCACCTTAAAATGACTTAAATGTTGCATTATATTAAAGCACTCAAATAAAACTGTTCTCTTCATAATAGAATGACAGTCATGACATGGTTTTAGTAACTATGATACATTTTAGCTTCATTTTTGTTTATCAGTCACTGAAACACAGAACTAAACCAAATATACATGTTTTTCATATATGCAAGGTTATACCACTTTGTAGAATATGTGCCATTTCCTAAATTACAATCTACATTCTTATAACAAAAGATGTTTTACACATTTTAAAAATAAAACAAAAATTCTACACATTTCTTCTCCAATGCAAAGCCTTTGAAAACACATTAGGAAAAATGGTGCTCTACATTTAGCTAGCTGTCTGTTATCTACAGTCATACAGTCATGCAAGAGCCAACGATAAGAAAATAAGGAAGGAACAAATTAACAATAGTGGCAATACAATAATTTGACAATTAGGTTTGGATTATATGAGCTTAACCAAATGTTAGCTGATAGCTGCAACCAACCAAACTATGATTTAAGGAACATTCTAATCAGTTCAAACTTTATACTATTATTTTATATGAAATAAATTATCTAATTCCAGTGCTATCTCCTATAAGCAATTTGTTTAGGCCTTGTTATTGTTATCTCCTACTATACCCCATGTGTATCCTGAGAACTATGTAGGACAAGATACATTTTAAGAAGATTAAACAGCATTTCTCTCTTTTTTTTTTTTTGAGACAAAGTCTCACTCTGTCACCCAGGCTGCAGTGCAGCAACACGATCATAGCTTACTGTAACTTAAACTCCTGGGCTCAAGCAATCCTCCTGCCTCAGCCTCCCAAGAGTGCTGGTATTACAGGTGCAAGCCACCCTGCCCAGCATAAACAGCATTTCTCTATTAAACCTTTTCAGGAGACTGCAGGATCAGCCAAAAGTGACTTTTGGAAAAAAATTATTTTCTACACTAAAAAAAGATTAATACCATGCAATCAGAAATTCTACAGACGTCAGCAAGATAAACTGGACCTCTGTTTTAAAACATGTAGTTTTAGTGTTTCATAATACTTTGAACGTTTTCATAATAAAATTTGGACGTTTATTTCTTAGTAAGATTAACATTACTTATAAAATAAAAGAATAAATCTACTTAGAAAAATGTACTTCAAAAGTTAGACTGTCAAATAAATTCAGAGCTCCTTTTTCAGTTCAGAATTTTTTCTGTACTAAATGTTTGATAAATGACACAATCTAATATAAAGATCTTTAACTACATTAAGTCTGCTTTTATTAAGATCTTTATTTACATTCCTAAGATTTTAAAATCAGCAAACTCATTTGATATTGAGGAAGCACCTAGAGATTTTGGAAGATTTTCCTTAACTATCTGAAAATTCACTGATTAAATTATGGTAAATGCAGGAATGCTGTTTTCAGTTCATACCAGACCCTGAGAAGACACTGAGAAATTTGACAAGAACAAAGCCAATAGGAGTGTTGCCACTATTGTTTTATGCTCAGTAAACGTCAGAATTTTAAATACATACAGTAAATTTTCATTGCACCAAGGGCACCTGAAACAGACATGCCAAAACCACACGTTGTAACATCTGCTCTAAATTACAGAAATGCTAAATATCCTATTTCAAATACTCTAATTTGTAAATTAATACCTGTGATGTAACAATGACATTTTTCATAACAATCAAGAATACCATTTTTTGGCCAATTTTATGGAGTAATTTCCTTAACCAACCCTATAATTATAACATTTACCTGTCTTTTTTTTTTTTTTTTTTTTTTTTTTTTTTGTCTTTTACCATGCTATACACAATTACAAGATATAGAACTAGGCTTAACCACATTTATAAGAAAACTCACTTTTGAATTGTGATGTTTCTGTTAAAAGAAAAAAATACGTTACTATAACACTTTTAGTGTAATGACTTTCGTTTAAATTATGAAAACATTTGAATCATTTCCCTCTAGACCAATTTCAAATTTATAGTTTGTTTAGTCTAGCCAGTTAACCAAAAAGAAAAAAAACAAAAGGAAAAAGATACTTGGCCAGATGAAAGAGAGAGAGAGAATGCTAACACAAGGTTCAATGTACGGAGTTCTTGGTTGCTCTGTTCCATATGCCCACACAATGTCACGATGTATTGGTGTACCCCTAAACAGAACGCCAGATCAGTCCATTCTTACTGGGCTGAAGAAAATTCTCAATTAGAGCATCAATGAGTTTTTTCAATTCTTCCTCCAGTAAAGCAGTATCACTGAGGAAAAGATGAAGAGTTTTGGAATTATTTATTTTCATAGGCTTAAAATTTATTTAAATTAGTTTTACTTTTTAAGAGGTCCTGATGGAATGATTAAACAATTGGTAAACAAAAGAGAAATTCACTTGGTTAAAACAAAACAAGACCCCCCCCAAAAAAAATTACATACAAAGAAAACACTGCTATCACAAACTGAAGTTGAGCTGCATTAATAGGAGTTCCTTGGCACATGATAAACAGAGGAGTGATAGTATATCTAAAGAATTCTCCTAGGTCAGGAGAACGTGGTTCAAATGGCTTTGAACACCAATACCAGGTGTTAGGAGAAAATGGCTTCCTGAAATACTTTGAAAAATATTCGATATAGATGTTATGGAATGATATAACATATCTTTCAGGTAGCAGAAGGAGGTGTGACTAAAAGAATGGGATGTTTAAGAAAAACAGATATGCACTTAAAAGAAGGCCCTTGAAAGTCATCACTGAGGCACTGCCATTGCCCAGAACATTTTGAGGCAAGCCTCTTTTAAATTGCCTTTATAGTCATTTAAAAAACTACACAACAAATTAGTTCTTATTACTTTAATAATCTCCCTTCATTTTCAACCAGATGTAGCATTACCCAATTTGGTTTACTTTAAATTCTGCTTTGAATGACTTTAGGAGCTCTTTATCCCCCTCAAAAGAAATGAAATCTATCCTTAAATGCAAAAATTTATGGAAATACAAAATAGTGTGGCTTTGGTTGGACTCTGAAAGCAATTCTAAAAAATCTCCTTCCCAAATACATATTGGTCAATGACAATATTACAGGAGACAGTACTTTTAATACATTTAAGTAGCCTTTGAATATGTTTATGAAATTAACTTAGTCACAAGTCATCCTCTTAAAAGGAAATGAACTGAGAAGATTCTGTCAAGTCCTATTCGACACAGAAAATGAATATCTGGCAGTAAACTAGATTATCTAATGATCATTTCCTTATGCTAATCATGTAATAGTTTAAAGATCAGAGAATCTTTCCAAGAATAGAAATTTGCTACAATTTTAAAATTCAATTCCCAAATGATACAGCTGCTTTAAAAAACAGTCTGGCAGTTCCTCAAAAGGTTAAACACAGAGCTACCATATGACCCAGCAATTCTCTCCCAGGTATATATACCCAAGAGAAATGAAAACATACATTCACACAAAAACCTGTATGGAAATGTTCATAACAGTGCTATTCAAAACAGCCAAAGAGTGCAAATAATCTGAACGTCCATCAAATGATCAAAAGAATAAAAAGCGTGGCATATTTATGCAATGGAATATTGTTGGTCCATAAAAAACAAAATTAAAAAAAAAGGGAATAAATTCATGCTACAACTGAATCATGGTGGAAGCTAGAAACCATTATACTAAGTAAAAGATGGCAGTCACAAAGACCCATATATTATGTGAAAAGCCCAGAAGAAGCAAATCTTTAGAGAAAGATAGTGTATTGGTGGTTGCTGAAGGCTGTAAAGGAAGGAAATGGGAAGTGATTTCTCATGGATATGGGCTTTTAGGGGTGATGAAAATGTTCTAAAATAGATTATAGTGATAGATGCACAACTTTGAATATACCAAAAACCACTTAATTGTACATTTTAAGTGGGTGAACTGTATGATATGGGAGTTATATATCAATAAAGCTTTTGTATGTATATCTAAAAAAATCAGTTCTCACCTCTGGTCAGGTGACGCGCACATCTCTGCATAATACTTTATCTTTGGTTCTGTCCCACTTGTCCGGAGGGTAGCAACACAACCATTTTGAAAAGTAAATGTAATCATTTGGCTGTTTTTACTCACAGGCAGCACCTATGGAAAATGGCAACAACCGTTTAATTATACTTGGCATCTTTTTCATTTTCTTTCATTCTCAAGAATTATAAAATACAGTCCACTTATATGAGGTATCGAAAGTCGTCAGATTTACAGAAATATAAATTAGAATGGCGGTTGCCAGGGGCAGGGGGTATGGTTACGGGGAGTTATTGTTTAATGGATAGTTTTAGTTTAGCAAGATGAAAAAGTTCTAGAGGCCTGTCGCACACCAATATGCACTACCGAACTATACACTTAAAAATGGTTAAGGTAGTTAATTTTTATGTTATGTGATTTTTTTAACCACAATTGAAAAATTAAAACATATCTTAAAAGCATTATAAAATACAAATGATGATTACTTATATAATAATTCATAAACATACCATTTACTGAATAGTTCAGGAATTGGGTTATATACCTCACATACATGATCTCTGGGCCTCAACAGTAATCCTGTAAAGTAAGTATTACCACCATTTTACAGACGAGGCTCAAAGAGAGTAAACAACCCACTCAAGACAATCAGCTAAGTTGTAGAACAAGAAGTGGAAGCCAAGTTCCAAAGTCCAGACTGCCTCTATATTTGCGAAGCACTTGCACGTTTATCAATCGTCTCCAAAGAGGAGTGCACATATCCTGCATGTACTAGGGTGCAGAAAAAACTGTATTTTTTATAAAAATTTAAAAAAGAAGTGACATTTTACTGACACTAAATATATGGATTAACACTGGTACTCTTGCTAGTCCACACATCGGTCTATCAAGGCATCTCGAGGGGATTGTGAGGGTTGTACTAGGGCAGAGGGGTTGACAGTGGTACTTTTCCTCCGCTGTCCTGAGCCATGAGTCCTGACCTTGAGACCCCTCCTTTTGGTCAGTACATTACCATATATCAGTGACTTAACACAGAGATCTTCCCTTCTTTTTTACCCACAGCCCATAAAGTAGCAAGTCCTTTCTACACTTTATTTAACTCAACTTTATTCAGCTGTCTCCATACTGCTCATATACTGAATTCAGGCGACCATCGTGTCTCATCTAGACTGCTGATACAGTGTACTAACTGATCTTCCTGCCTGGAAGTTTGCCCCTCAAAACCCACTCACCATACAGGCCATTCTTCTCCCTCATACTCCAGTTACAGACAACTACCTTTGGTTCTCTGAAGGAGAATATGCTTTTTCATCTCTGGACCTTCTACTTCTACTTACTGTTCCCTTTGCCTGAAACACCCTCTGCTCCTCCTGCATCTGGCTAACTCCTAATCATACTTGGGAACTCAGTTCAGAACAGTTCTCTAGAAAGTCTTCCATAAGCCCCCAAAGCCTATTCCATGACATCCTATGCATGTCTCTCCTGGTAGCACTTATCATTTTGTAAGTTGCTGTTTACTTGTCCATTTCCCTACTAGATTTTTCCCTGAGTGCAGTGTCTGTCATTGCTATATCCCTAGTGTACCTGTGCCTGTAGCTTGTGATACATGAATACACAGATGAACATCAATCAATCTGAAACATGGAAAAGAGAGAATTCCGGAAGGCCTTGACACTTACTATGCGACCTTGGCGATAACAACATCTATGCTACCTACCTTACAAACTTGTTGTAAGAACCAGCAGAGATGAAAAAGCACCCTGAATAATATCGTACACTTTAATGAGAATTAAGAGGGAAAAAAGCATTATACCAAAGGCTACTTGAGCACAGCAAATTAGAGAAATAAAAAGAAGCAAAAGATAATTCTTCTCTTCAAGCAATTTACAAAGATAGAAAAATAGATACACTTATACACAGGATATCAACACCAGGAACTGATATTTGTTGATTGGACAAATATGCAAAAATGGAATATGTGTACTATTCTACATGATAAACTACAGATTTTCCAAAATACATTATGTCCCTAGAATCTTGAGACCACATCACAACATTACAAATGGAAATTTGGGCTAATAATCATTATAACAACAACAACAAAATGAATATAATCAGCAATCTATGGCATTTAAGTATTTGTTGAGCAGCTACTACATGGGCAGAAACTTTGAGAGGCACAAAAGTACATCAGAAAGGAACCTGCCATGTACAACACAATGATGACATAAAGTAACAGGAGGAAGGCACACTATGTAATGAAACCTCAAGAGGAAGGTGTCTAATTATGGGGCCTAGAGGTCACGTGGAACAGGTGATATTTGCCTTCAGTCTTCTAGTGGCTGAGATATGGGCCTGTAAAAATTGGAAAAATGGGTAAACTAAGGAAACAACTGAGCCAAAAATGCAGAAATTTTTTAAAAAGTGTGTATATATAGGTAAGTAAGTAAGTTGTTTTATTTGGCTGGAGGTATAGGGAATAAGGTTGGAAAGGGATGTTAAAATTAAAAATATTCATGGCTTTGAAATTATAGGCTTTTACACTTATTTTCAACATTATCTAGCATCATTGCTCATTTTCTCTCTTTCTCTCTCTTTCTCTGCCCCCCACCTCCATTCCTCACAACTCACCCTGGCGGTAGTATAGATGATTTTTTGAGAATAGGATAAGGATAGGATCAAAGTCAGAGAAACAAGTTAGCAGACTGAAAAATGCTCTGGAGCAAAACAATGGGTTCTAGTCTCAAGAAACTCACAGGCCTGAAGTTTCACCATTTCATTATAATATTGATGTGGGTGAACCCCCAAATTGGGGCTCAGCCCAGGAGGTTTCTTGGCCACATACAGAGAAGGAATTCAAGAGGAAAGCAATTAGTGGGCATGGTGGCTCCCGCCTGTAATCCTAGCACTTTGGGAGGCCAAGGTGGGTGAATCACTTGAGGTCAGGAGTTCAAGACCAGCCTGGCCAACATGGTGAAACTCTGTCTCTACTAAAAATACAAAAATTAGCCAGGCATGGTGGCATGTGCCTGTAGTCCCAGCTACTCAGGAGGCTAGGCAGGAGAATCACTTGAACCTGGGAGGCAGAGATTGAAGTGAGCCGAGATCATGCCACTGCACTTCAGCATGGGAGACAGAGCAAGACTCTGTCTCAAGAAAACAAAAAAAAAGGAAAGCAATTTTATCAGAGCAACAAAATGGCTGCTTCATAGGCAGAGTAGCATTATGGATTGCTTACTAGCTATATTATAGCTTCTGCTTAATTACATGCTAAATAAGGGGCAAGTTATTCACAAATTTTCTAGAAAAAGTGTGAGGAGTTCTTGGAACAAGGTTTCCTCCCCATTTAAACCATATAAGGTAACTTCTGGGTGTTGCCATGGCATCTATAAGCCTGAGTCATCGTGTTGGTGGGAGTGTCTTTAGCATACTAATATATTATAATTAGCATACAATGAGAAGAGAGGGGAACTAGAGATTGCTTTTGTTGCCATCTTGGTTTTGCTGATTTTGGCTGGTTTCTTTACTGCATCCTGTTTTGACCAGATCCTGTTTTGATCAGTGGGGTCATGACCGGTAGTTGGAAAACAAATCCTGCTGATCGCCAACCTCAGTATGAATTATTATAAATTGTTAACTTTTTTTAAAAAAGTGTTTACAGGACCTTCCAGCTTGGTGAACACATGGACTTGCTGGGAGGCTCTAGGCCCCAACCCCACCCCTAGTACATTGCCCTGTACATCTCTTCTCTGGCTGCCCCAGAATTGTCCCCTTTATTATAAACTAGTAAACATGAGGAAACTGGATTGAACCTCATGTGAAATCTGTCCTGCCTCTGGACTTTTTGGTGACATGAGCCATGAAATTTTCTAAATTGTTTGAAAAAAAAAAAAAAAAAAAGGTACTTACTGATTTCTTATTAGGCTGGCTACTGTCATATCCAGTGGTAATGTCCCGTACATACAATATAGCAAATGTCCCACAAAATTTTGGATATTCTTTTGGAGCATCAAAATTACGAAGCCTTTCAAATATATTTTTGATGGTAGGTGGTTCATAACACAAGAAATAGGAAGTTTTTGAAATATGATAACCATATCTGTGCAAAGATTCAAAGTGCTAAAATTAGATTTCAGATAACTCTTTAGAAAAGTATATATTAAAGAAGATCAGCCTACTACAGTATTTTGTAGAAAGTGGCAGTCCTCAATTCACATAATTTTAAAGTATTGACTATTCTTCAGAAACAAATTTAGAAAACTAAGGGTGGAACAATAAAAAAAAATCTAGCATGTGAAATTCATAATAGTAGAACTTACTTTTCATAAACCTTAATCAGTTGCTGTTTCAGTGTTATATTCATGGTTTCCAGGTAAGATGCCATCTCAGCAACCACAACAGCTGCACTCACTCCATCTTTATCCAAAACTGAAGTTCCACAGAGAAAACCTGAGGATTGAAAACCATCACTAGAAAAGAAGAAAACTTAAGCCTATAATTTCAATAGTTTTACATTTCTTCAGAAGGATGAGGAAATTTTTTTTTTTTTTTTTTTTTTTTTGAGACAGAGTCTCGCTCTGTCACCAGGCGCCAGGGTGGAGTGCAGTGGTGCAATCTTGGTTCACGGCAACCTCCGCCTCCTGGGTTCATGCAATTCCCCTGCCTCAGCCTCCCGAGTAGCTGGGACTACAGGCATGCGTCACCACACCCAGCTAATTTTTGTATTTTTAGTAGAGACGGGGTTTCACCATGTTGGCCGGGATGGTCTTGATCTCTTGACCTTGTGATCCACCCGCCTCAGCCTCCCAAAGTGCTGGGATTACAGAGGATGAGGAAATTTAAAAGCCTAGTAATCGAGGAAACTCATCAATATTTAGGGGATACTTTGGTTCTTTTTTTTTTCCTGATAAGAAATGCATCTACACATTTCTCAGTTCTCTGTAGTTTTTACAACTCCAAATATGAAACCAAAACATAAAAAACTCCTCCTACAGAATATTTTTTAAAAAATTATCAATCAAATTTCAAAGATTTTAATATTTACTACATACCAATAGACTCTTCAAATGCAAAAAGGACTTCTTTCCCATTTTCCAGGAGGTCTTTTATCCTACTTCCAATCCATTTAAAACCTGGTAATGTTTCCTGAAATGCAGAGGAGGTCACTCTAGTTAAGTGATTCTCTCACAAATACTTATTAGAGAAAAAGCTGCCACTACATGCACATAACGTTCATATAGTGATTTTCTACCATAGTCTTCAGTCCACAAAGATTTATAGAGTAGCAGACATATAGTAATACAGTGCCATAAATACACACACTGCTACTCTTGATGATCTATTATTTCTAGATAGTACTAGGTGGTTTACACCAAACATAACCCAGCATTTATAAGTGATGCTTCATATAGTCACAAAGTAACATGAGTAAGTACTGAACCAGGTGCTTTACATCATTATCTTTTATAATGCTCACAAACACTATTGCTGAAACACAGGCTCGAAAGATAAGTCAATCTGTCTAAAATTATACTGCATATAAGAGATGGAGTCAAGACTCAATATCAAGTTTCTGCTTCTCAGAAACTGTCCTGTAAGCAAAACTATAACCACTAATATAAGAGTGCCATGAAGGTTGGTGGATTTACTTTCCCTGAGTAATCAATCAAAGGTCATGAAGTTTTTTGGTGATGCACTTTTAATATTAGCACAATGTAAGCTTGAACCAAGTGTAGCTTCTCATAACATTGTGTCCTGTTAATAAAACCACCAAAACAGTTTACTAAGTACTTCTTTAAATAATTAGATTTGAGGACTTTTCATCTAATGAGCTACTGTTCACTTTAAAGACACAATCTGTTTTAGAGTCAACAGAAAGTGTATGTGAGACACACTAATTCTAAAGCTCACCAATTTGTTTCCTAATTCACCTCTCTACCTCCTTACTAAAAAATAAAAATCCAAAAACCTCCCTGCTAAAACAAAACAAGCAACTAAAATAATAATAGTGGTCTTTAGAATTGGTCTTTTTTCTCTTTTGTGCTCATTATACATTTTTGTTGCTATAGATAAAAACAAGGAAAACATCAGAAGCTTAGGCTTGAATGAACTTTCAGTATCTTTTTCTTTTTTTTTTTGAAATGGAGTCTCACTCTGTCACCTAGGCTGGAGTTCAGTGGTGCAATCTCAGCTCACTGCAACCTCTGCCTCCTGGGTTCAAGTGATTCCCCTGCCTCAGCCTCCTGAGTTGCTGAGATTACAGGCGCATGCCACCATGCCAGGCTAATTTATGTGTTTTTTAGTAGAGACAGGGTTTCACCGTGTTGGTCAGGCTGGTCTCAAATGTCTGAACTCATGATCCACCCACCTCAGTCTCCCAAAGTGGTGGGATTACAGGCATGAGCCACCGCACTCAGCCCTATTTTCAGTATCTTCTATTTTGCTATTTGTGTTTTAGAAAGTATAAGGTTGAAAGCTCTATTTCATAAAGACAGGTACAATTTTCTTTTACTCAGCCAATTAGTGTTAAGACCTGTAGCCTGACTATGGCTCAAGGAAAATGCCCAGGGACATTTTCACTGATATTTGGCAAAGATGGCAGAGGAAAAGCAACTTAGTTCCCATAGCTGCAAAAATGGTCAGCATAAGGGTCTTAAAGTCACAAGGTTAATGACCTGGGCTGAGGGAGAGCCACTACTTGTTTTTTCAGATGTAGGATCATTGGGTCTTAATATGCAATTTAGAAGACTACTTAAAGTTTCTTAAGACTATGCTTGAAGAGCCTAAACAAGGGGTTGATGACAACCACAATTTTTTGGAGTGAAGTCTGAGTTACTGATGAGGTTGCCAGGAGCTAAATTTTCCCTTTCTGAAAACCAGATATTGTTGTATGGACTAATAAGTATAATTTTGGCTCAAGGTGTCTAAATTATCAAATAGACTGAGTAAGTGTTAACAGAATTAGAAAAATAAGAGAATAACAAATGAAATCAATGAAAGTCAGTTTTGGTGGGAGATATCTTTAACATTCACAAATAGGTTTTTAAAAGTAGCACACAGACATTATCTATTCTTACTTCAAAGTGAAATCCTTCTTTAAGTGCAATTGCCTTCAAAATTTTAGAAGAGACTGTGGTGGCTAACATATAAACATTCTTCACATCAGCATTTCTTGACTGATTTTTCTTCCAGCAATCAAACATCCACCACCCAAACAAAGCTGCCAACTCATTCCCTGTGAAAACTTTCCAACAGCCACTGTAGAGAGAAGGAAAATGCAATGTCAAGACCTTTCTTTTCATTAAAACTTCTTGACTCCAAGGCCTACAAATTACCATCCTTCATTTAGGAAAAATCAGAAACTATTATATGGGATTTTTGAGACAACATTTACTACTGCTTGTTTTCTAACTGCCCAGGGGTGATGTTATGGTAGGAATGGTTACAACGTCTTTTGGAAAATTATTATATCATTATAATTATTCTCTTAATGAGAGAAAAATTTACGATTAATAATTAAGCCTTTCTATGTAAGGACATCTGTCACATTATAATGGTAAAAATACATAGCAACCTAGAGGACTAAGATTAGGAAATAGATACATCATAAAGTGATCTGTTGGGATAGTATGTCTTTTTAAAAATTAACATTTTTAAACAATATATAAAGTCAGGGGAAAATGCTTACACTGTAAGCATTGTTTGAAACATTTTGTACAATTGAAGTGGAAAATAAGATATAAAACTATTATCATAAAATAAACAAATACATCTTTAAATATTTCAATTAAAAAGTAAAGAATTGTCAAAGTATCAGGTGGTTATTTCTGGATGATGGGTTTATAGGAAATTTATGTCCTTTTCTTATTTTTTCATTATTTTCAATGAGCCTGTAAGACTTAAAATACATTGTTTTTCAAAGTACAAGCTTTTAATCAAATAACAGATTCTACATACTTCTCCTGAAGTTCTGCTGCTGCCAGTCTGTCTGCATCAGGATCTGTGGCTAGCACTATTCGGGCATTTTCTTTCTCTGCCAGTCTCAGAGAAAGTTCCTGAAACAGTGACCCAAAAAGCTCAATTGTACTGAAGAATCTAAATTCAATGTTAATGTTCCTATATGTAGGCACAATGTTAGTGATAGGTATTTTAGAAGGCATAGAATTCAGCTAAATTTAAAATAAGAAGCTAAAAGTAGGGATACCTACCACAGACATTTCAAACAAACACAGCCTTTGACTGCAATGCAATTTAAAAGATGTAAACTACAGTCCTTTCTGCTTTTGTAATCTTTGAATTGTCAGTGAGTTCTATCTATTCTGGGGGATGGTTTAATAAATTAATAATAATTGAAATATTTAAAAAAATACCAGCACAGATTCTCCTTCTTCAGGATTTGGACATTTAACAGTAGAAAAGTCTGGATCAGGATCTTTTTGTTCTGGTACTGGAATTGGAGGCTTAAAACCAAACACTTTAAAAGCCAACTGCACATAGTCATGTCCAACCCCATGAAAGGATGTATGCACAAATTTCAAGGTGGTCTTTGAGTTTAACTCCCTGTAAAAGAAAATCAACATGCAATCATGATCACAAAACTTTCACAAAAGGATTGAACAGCTTCACTCTGAATGGATACTCAGTGTTGCCAGGCAATCCTACTTTTTACCCAGAAAGCTTACTTTTTTACTCTCCATTGATGACTTAATTAGTACCATTTCTTCTTATTCCTTTTCTCCCCCTTCACCTCATACATCATTGAGACACAGAGCCATTTGATGGAAACTTCCTCATTATCACACACCAAACCGACAACCCCACCAGCATCCCATATTTTTTCCTTCTTCCATCTGATAATAATGAAGAAGTGTTATTTGCATCAAAGATCAACCCCTCTACTTCTGCTCTGGTCTCCATCTATTCTCACTTAAGAACTTTAGTACGTGGATAATCCTGTCTTGCCAGCATAATTTCCATTAGCATCTGGTCTCTGTTTCTTTGGTCTTTTCCACAGCAAAACTTTCCACATAGTAACCTACCATTTACTAACCATTCCCCATAAAAAAATAAGATTTATTATAAGGTAACTAATAAAAATAAAATGTTATGACAAATTTCAAACATATGCATAGGCAGACAGAATATCTAACGCCATATAACCATTACCTCACTTTAATATGTTTCCATAGTCTGTCAATCTAGTCTCATTTATTCAAGACATATTACTTTACATGAAAATGCTTTAGTATTTGAAGACATAACCATATTATCATTACTACAGCTAACAAAATCAACAATAATTTATTTCCTCTAATACCCTGTGTTCAAATTTTCCCCAAGGGTCTCAAAAATACTTTTAACAGTTGTTTTACTTGAAGCAGGACCTGAGTGAACGAGCTCCATATAATTTGGTTGCTATGCTTCTCAAGTCTCTCTCTCTCTCTTTTTTTTTTTTTTTCTGGAGATGGAGTCTTGCTCTGTCGCCCAGGCTGGAGTGCAGTGGCGTGAACTCGGCTCACTGCAACCTCCGCCTCCCAGATTCAAGCAATTCTTCTGCCTCAGCCTCCTGGGTAGCTGGGACTACAGGCACATGCTGCCACTCCTGACTAATTTTTTGTATTTTAGTAGAGACGGGCTTTACTGTGTTGCCCAGGCTGGTCTCAAACTCCTGAGCTAAGGTGATCACCTGCCTCGGCCTCCCAGAGTGCTAGGATTACAGGCGGAGCCACTGAGCCTGGCCCCAAGTCTCTTTTAATCTATAAATGTTCCTCCCTTCCTTCCCCAACCCAAATGTCATTTATGGAAGAAACTGGGCCATTTGTCCTATAGAATTTCCCGTATCGCCAGTATGTAGACTGCATCCTTTTGCCATTACCATGCCTCCTCTATCCTATTTGTTCCATAAATAGGCAGCTGCATTTAGAGGTGACATCAGATTCAATTTCAATTCTTTGGACAAGAATAGGTGCTGTGTATTTTCTATTGACTAACAGGTGGAGGCACACAATTTGTACCTTACTTTAAATGGTGTTAAATTAAGATTCATCAGTGTCAGCCTAATCCTTACATCAAAAAATTTCCCATCAACTTTTCACCTATGGGTCTTAGCAGCCCTTGATAAGCATTACTTAGATACATTATTTATTAAAGGTCACAAAGTAGTGATTTTGAAAATGCTATTATTCCTTCTGCATTTATTGGATTTTTCTTTTCAAAATAATGATGCTTCAACAACCATTTGATTAGTCCTAAAATTCAGTTCATATAGAAAAGACAGAATAAATTAGGAGAAAGTTTCAAACATTTATTGATTTTCAGAAAGAAAATTTAGAACTTATCAAATTTCAGCATGAGTGATTTTCAGTCCAGCAACTCCCAAAGGTGACCAATAAAGTGCTTTTTTTAGTATTACTAACAGTCATGGGCTTTTTATGTTTAATGTTTTAATTCATTAAAGTGATTATTCTTTTTGATGCCCAACTATCCAATCTTTGGTCAGTGGGAGCCCCTTCGAGTTGGCTCCTAGATCCTTTTGATATGACCCCAGTATCTTTGAAAGCTAAACTGCTTTATGGCAAAGAAAAAAAAAAAGTCATCTCAGGCTAATTTAGTACATTTTCTGCTCCAATCCTTGATAAGAATCAATTTCTCCAATAAGCCCTGGTTCCTTTTACTTGAAAATGGTATTTAGAAACCACAATCTGGGCTTTAGTGGTAGGCATGGGCCTTTTTAGTAACAGAACTAGTATTTTAACATTTTAGGTAAATAAAACGTATTTCAAATTCAAATTTAAAATTGTAATTTAAAAAATATTTTGTTTGATTTACATTTGCTTCTCTTAAACTAAAATCTTGGATCCTACTGATATTAGCATAATTACGCATTTGTTTTATAATATGTATGTGTATGTCTATCTACATATTTATTTATATCTGTAAAACCACCAGTATTACTACTAACAGTATAGCTATCAAATACAATTTGAGGTTTCTTTGTGGTTCTTTATCCTTAGGATGTATCCCACTAGAAATGTATAGTCAGTTAATATAAAGTCACTTGAAATAATTCTTCTCTGTGTAATTATGCCTTCAGCTTGATAAATAGTCAGGTTCACTTGTTAATTTGCTTTTGCCCATATACTCTTTAAAAAACAAAAATAAAAATGAGCAAAGACAGAAAGGATAACAAAAGAATCAAATTCTTTTTAGACTGAGTAGAGGTGGTAGCATTGAGCTAGTATTATTGTCCACTTATTTTATTTTATTTTATTTTATTTTTGAGACGGAGTTTCACTCATGTTACCCAGGCTGGAGTGCAATGGCGCGATCTCGGCTCACCGCAACCTCCGCCTCCTGGGTTCAGGCAATTCTCCTGCCTCAGCCTCCTGAGGAGCTAGGATTACAGGCACGCACCACCATGCCCAGCTGATTTTTTGTATTTTTAGTAGAGACGGGGTTTCACCATGTTGACCAGGATGGTCTCGATCTCTTGACCTCGTGATCCACCCACCTCGGCCTCCCAAAGTGCTGGGATTACAAGCGTGAGCCACCGTGCCCGGCCTTGTCCACTTATTTTAGATAGAGAAGTGAACAATTGATACCTTGATGGGTATACTTTTGAAATTAAAATAAAGTGGAGAAAAAGCTAAAATTATTTTGTAGGATAAGAAAAATGCACTCAGTAAGACAGGATTCTTCCTAGCAATAGTGTTAGCTATTTACAGAAGAATTATAGAGATAATTATGGAAATATGGATATGGTTAAGGAAAAATAAATCTTAAAGGAAATGTATTGATCGAACATAGAAGAAATACATATATTTAAGTATAATTTAACAGCTTTATTGAGATATAATTCATAATACCACATAATTCACCCATTTAAAATATATGATTGACTTTCACTATATTCATAGAGTTGTTCAACCATGACCATGATCAATCTTAACATTCTCATTACTCCTGAAAGAAACTCTAGGCTGGGCATGGTGGTTCACACCAGTCATCCGAGTACTTTGGGAGGCTGAGGTGGGCAGATTACCTGGGGTCAGGAGTTCAAGACCAGCCTGGCCAACATGGTAAAAACCTGTCTCTACTAAAAATACAAACATTAGCCCAGCATGGTAGTAGGCATCTACAGTCCCAGCTACTTTGGAGGCTGAGGCAGGAGAATTGCTTGAACCAGGGAGGCAGAGGTTGCAGTAAGCTGAGATCACGCCACTGCACTCCAGCTTGGGTGACAAGAGTGAGATCTGTCTCAAAATAAAAAAAAAGAAACTATATTCAGTAGCTCCCAGCTCCCAACCCTTTCATTCCTTCAAGTCACAAGTAACCTATAATCTATTTCTGTCTCTATAAATTTGCCTATTCTGCATATGTCATATAAATGGAATCATATAATATGTGGTTCTTTGTGACTGGGTTCTTTCAGTTAGCATGATGTTTTCAAGGTTTATGCATGTTGTAGTATATAAGTACTTCATTTCTTTTTGTTGCTGAATAATACTTCATTGTCTGGATATACCATTTTTTTTTTCTTTTTTTGAGACAGAGTCTCACTCTGTTACCCAGGCTGCAGTGCAGTGGTATGATCTCAGCTCACTGCAACCTCTGCCTCCCAGGCTCAATGATTCTCTTGCCTCAGCCTCTCAAGTAGCTGAGACTACAGGCACATGCCAGCATACCCAGCTAATTTTTTGTATTTTTAGTAGAGACGGGGTTTCACCATTTTAGTCAGGACAGGATTGTCTCAATCTCCTGACCTCATGATCCGGCCACCTCAGCCTCCCAAAGTGCTGAGTTTACAGGCGAGAGCCACCACGCCTGGCCGGATATACCGCGTTTTATTTATCCATTCATTAGTTAATGGCTACTTGGGTTTCCACTCTTTGACTCTTATGAGTGCTATTTAGCTATAATTTTAATCTAATAAATAGACGACACATTTTAATCACTTTTTCTTCTCCTCCTTTGTTATCGTTATTCTAAAGTAATATTATTCGATATTCCCACTTGGATACCTGTAAAAACAGATCTTTTTCAGATCTTCCATGTATCTCCTGCAAATGTCCTGCAGAGGGTCTCTCTTCAGCGGACTGGTATCCACTAAATTATCATTCCAGGAACCATTCCAGGGTTCCACACATTCTTCTATACATTTTAGAATTTCTTTATCATGAGGAGACGTGATCTGAGCACCAGTTTCCCAGTAAACCTAGATGATGAGTAAATATAACTATAATTACTTAAAATGCTTGTCAGATATTTTTCTTACCTATAGTAGAGATCTTCAGCTTTATTAAAAAGAATATCAAATTGATCAAGTAAAAAAATCAACATAGGACTAATTTAATAAATATCAAAAGATATTGATAGTAATGACTCTATAGGGACTCTTCAATAAAATGATCATATATGATTTTCTTTTAGAAGTATACTCTAATAGTAATATGAGTAAAATACAAGCAGGGCATTATTATGATAACATTATAATATGCATATGCCTTAGTGTCTAATCATACTGTTAAACCTATAACTTGATACCAAAGATAATCCAAGGAACCATAGAATATTCCCTAAAACTTGATATTATTTAACTTAACATTAATAAAGTAGTTCTATTATGTGATATAGAAAAAAGTCATTTTTCCATTATAAAGTGGAATTTATATCATACCAAATATAGTTTAGTAACAATTAGCATGTTAATTATCCATATAAATTTCAATGAGTTTTCAGTTTGTCAAGTAGCCTGATCAATAAGACATTAGGAACAGTTACCAAAAAAGCAAGAAAATGTAATTCTAATAATTTATAGGATTTCAAATTTAGAAAGTTAGAGAATATCTATGGTGACTTCTACCATGTACACGACACGAATCCCCTCTATTTCATTCTGAATGAAGGAACTGCAACCTCTGCCTCCCAGGTTCATATATTTGAATACATTTGAAGAATACATTTGAATCTGTACTGTGTACTAACCTCTATACAAAGAATATGGTAAACCAGATGACCTAAAAGTCTGTGCTCTATAAACACCTCAAAATGCTATATAAAACAGGAAAAGATTACCTTAAATGCATAGCATAATTCACAAGATAAAAGGGACAACTCCAGGCAGTGAGAAAAAAAGAATCAGAAAGCAGAGTGATAAGCCTGTGGTACTGATATTGTGGTTACCTGGGGTTTCAGAACTGTCCATTTATCTGGTTCTTGGGTTGCAATGCCCATGTGCAAGGTAAGGAGTTGGAAATGAGACCGCCAAATAAAAATGGTAACCTTGAAGCATTTCACTCTCAGTGAAAATGCAGAATAGAAAAAGTCTTGTCCACTATTATACAGAGATAATTAAGAAGCATGTTTGTTTCTTCTTGGGTTCTGGGAAATTAAAACATTGTTCAAATCCAAGCTCTGCACTTCAACTATTTTAGGATGAGAAACAATAAGTTAACACAGAAACTGTCTCTAGTCAGCAAAACCCTTAAGGTTCTAGCAGAATTTTTAAAACAAAACTGTCTTGGAAGGATGCTCCCATATTTCAAGCCATAAAAAAGATTCTCTCCATAAGTTCTGAAAGCTCACATGAAAATTTATAAAACATAAGAAAAAAAATCCTGTCCTTTCTCTCTGTCCCCTTCTCCTTGCCTTATCTGTGGACGTGATGCCTGGAGGTACAGCAACCACCATGTGATGACCATGTTTGAGAGTAAGGCCAGAAAAACTGCAGACACCAGGCCTGACATCATGGAGCTACAGAACCGTGCCTGTGGCCATCTACCTCTAGACATTTTGTTATGTGAGAAAAATAAACTCCTATCAGCTTAAGCTGCTTTTGTTGGTTTTACTTAATCTGCACCAGAAAGCATCCCTATCTGACATAGTAACATAAAAATTCATACAACAAACTGTATCCAGGAATAAACGTCAAAAAATATGTGAAAAATCTAGTTTAAAAAAACATTGAAGTTAGCTTATTCCTTTCTGCCCGTGGATGCTGCTGAGGAAGCATTGTTAAAGTCTCTCTTGCCCCTGCTGTCATATCTAAGTCAGAGTCTCCTAAAGAGCCCATACAGCTGAGGAAGCTCTTTATTGGAGGGTTGAGATTTGAAACAACCGATGAGAGCCTGAGGAGCCATTCTGAGCAATGGGGAATGCTCACAGACTGAGTGGTAATGAAAAATCCAAACACCAAGCGCTCCAGGGGCTTTGGGATTGTCACATCTGTCACTGTGGAAGAGGTAGATGCAGCCATGAATGCAAGGCCACACCAGGTGGATGGAAGAGTTGTGGAAACAAAGAGAGCTGTCTAAGAGAAGATTTTCAAAGACCAGGTACCCACTTAACTGTGAAAAAGATATTTGTTGGTGGCACTAAAGAAGACACTGAAGAACATCATCTAAGAGATTATTTTGATCAGTATGGAAAAAATGAAGTGATTGAAATCATGACTGACAGAGGCAGTGATAAGAAAAGGGGCTTTGCCTTTGTAACCTTTGATGACCATGACTTCATGGATAAGATTGTCATTCAGAAATACCATACTGTGAATGGCCACAACTGTGAAGTTAGGAAAGCCCTGTCAAAGCAAAAGATGGCTAATGCTTCATCTAGCCAAAGAGGTCCAAGTGATTCTAGAAACTTTGGTGGTGGTTGTGGAGGTGGTCTTGGTGGGAATGACAACTTTTGTTGTGGAGGAAACTTTAGTGGTCATGCTGGCTGTGGTGGCAGCTGTGGTGGTGGATATGGTGGCAGTGAAGATGGCTATAATGGATTTGGTGATGATGGAAGCAATTCTGGAGTGGGTGGAAGCTACAATGATTTTGGCAATTACAACAGTCTTCAAATTTTGGACCCGGCTGGGTGCAGTGGCTTACGCCTGTAATCACAGCACTTTGAGAGGCTGAGGCAAGTGGATCACCTGAGGTCAGGTGTTCGAGAGCAGCCTGGCCAATATGGCAAAACCCCATGTTTACTAAAAATACAAAAATTAGCCAGGCTTGGTGGGGTGTGCCTACAGTCCCAGCTACTCGAGAGGCTGAAGCAGGAGAATCGCTTGAACCTGGGAGGCAGAGGTTGCAGTGAGCCAAAGTTGCACCACTGCACTCCAGCCTGGGCAACAGAGTGAGACCTGTCCCAGAAAAAAGAAAAAATTTGGACCCATGGAGGAGGAAACTTTGGAGGCAGATGCTCTGGCCTCTATGGTGTTGGAGGCCAATGCTTTTCTAAACCATGAAACCAAGGTGGCTATGGTGGTTCCAGTAGTAGCAGTAGCTACGGCAGTGGCAGATTTTAATTACTGCCAGGAAACAAAGCTTAGCAGGAGAGGAGAGCCAGAGAAGTGACAGGGAAGCTACAGATTACAACAGATTTGTGAACTCAGCTAAGCACAGTGGTGGCAGGGCCTAGCTGCTAAAAAGAAGACATGTTTTAGACAAAAACTCACATGTATGGGCAAAAAACTCGAGGATTGTATTTGTGACAAATTGTATAACAGGTTATTTTAGTTCCTGTTCTGTGGAAAGTGTAAAGAATTCCAACACAGGGTTTTAATGTAGTTTTGTTTTTTTTGTTTTTTGTACCCATGCTGTTGATTGCTAAAGGTAATAGTCTGATCATGACGCTGAATAAATGTGTCTTTTTTTTAAATGTGCTGTGTAAAGTTGGTCTACTCTGAAGCCATCTTGGTAAATTTCCCCAACAGTGTGAAGTTAGAATTGCTTTAGGGTGATGCCAGGTTCTATTTGGAGTTCATATACAACCTGCTTGGGTGGAGAAGCCACTGTGTTCAGAAACCTTGGTGTAGTTGAACTGATAGTTACTGTTGTGACCTGAAGTTCACCATTAAAAGGGATTACCCAAGCAAAGTCATGAAATTATTGGTTATAAAAATGATTGTCGACACATACTATGCAATATATCTAAATTGAATAGTGGTACAGATAAAATTAGAGATGAGAATTAAGCTTGTGTATCATCCATTATCATACATAATCAATAAACAATTTAGTTCTCTTGGCGAAAAATGTTTAAAATACTACCAAACAATCTAAAAGAAGCCTTGAAAGAATAGAAAGACACGGCCGGGCGCGGTGGCTCACGCCTGTAATCCCAGCACTTTGGGAGGCCGAGGCGGGTGGATCATGAGATCAAGAGATCGAGACCATCCTGGTCAACGTGGTGAAACCCCGTCTCCACTAAAACTACAAAAAATTAGCTGGGCATGGTGGCGCGTGCCTGTAATCCCAGCTACTCAGGAGGCTGAGGCAGGAGATTGCCTGAACCCGGGAGGCGGAGGTTGCGGTGAGCCGAGGTCGTGCCATTGCACTCCAGCCTGGGCAACAAGAGCGAAACTCCGTCTCAAAAAAAGAAAAAAAAAAAAAAAAGAATAGAAAGACACATCTATTTTTGAATAGGGAGACTCAATTATTAAAATATTGAAGCTCTCTAAATTAATATATAAATGAAATATTACACCAATAAAAATAACAAAATAACTTTGTTTTCAAATGGGAAAAATACCATAATATCAGGCATGGAAAAGTAAATAAATAATAAATAAATAAATAAATAAAACCAAGAGGACTAGGGGGAAATGTCTGCAAAACAGATGGCCAAGAGCTATTTTTTATGTATAAAGAGTTCCACAAATCAATAAGAAACAGCAAAAGAATAATGGGCAAATAGTTTAACAGATGCAAAACTGTAAAACTCCTAGAAGATGAGAGGAAGTCTAGAGGATCTTGGATTTAGCAATAACTTTTTAGGTACACCGCCAAACGCATGATCCATGAAACAAAGAACTGATAAGCTGGATTTAAAATTAAAATAAAATTTTCTACTCTGTAAAAGGCACTGCCAAGTGAATAAAAAGACAAGCCAGACTGGGAGAAATATTTGCAAAAGATATATCTGATAAAGGACTGTTATCCAAACTATATAAAGAATTCTTAGAACTCAACAAGAAAGCAAAACAGACACTTCACCAGAAAGAATACACAGATGGTAAAGAAGCATATGAAAAGATGCTTCACATCATATGTCATCAGAAAAATGCAAATTAGAACAACAATGAGATACTACTGCACACCTATTAGAATGGCCAAAATCCAGAGCACGGACAACAGCAAATGCTTGCAAGGATGTAGAGCAACAGGAGCTCTCATTCATTGCTGGTGGAGATTTAAAATGGTATAGCTGCTTTGGAGACAGTTTGGCAGTTTCTTACAAAACTAAACATACTCTTGCCATATGACTCAGCACTCATACTCTTTTGTATTTATACAAAGAAATGAAGACTTATGTCATACAAAATGTGCACACAAATATTTATAGCAGCTTTATTCATAATTGCCAAAATTTAGAAGAATCTATTATGTTCTTCAGTAGGCGAATGGAGAAATAAACTGTGGTACATCCAGACAATGGAATATTATTCTTTGTGCTAAAAAAAAAAAATGAGCTATCCAGCCATGAAAAGACATGGAGGAAATTACTAAGTAAAAGAAGCCAATCTAAAAAGGCTATATATTATATATTCCAACAACATGACAGTCTGGAAAAGGCAAAACTATGCAGACAGTAAAAAGATCAGTATTTGCCAGGGGTTAAAGAGGAAGAATGCATGAACAGGCAGAACACAGAGAATTCTGGAGGCAGCAAAAATACTCTGTATGATACTCTAATGGTGGATACATGTCATTGTTCATTTGCCAAAATCCAAAAAATCTGCAAAGAATGAACTCTAATATAAACTACGGGCTTTGGGTGATAATGACATGTCAATGTAGGCTCATCAAATGTACCACTCTGGTGGGGGATGTTGTTAATGCATATGTGGGGACAGGTGGGTATACCGGAAATCTCTGTACCTTCCGCTCAGTTTTGCTGTGAATCTAAAACAGCTCTACAAGATAAAGTTTGTTAAAAAAAAAAATCCTTTAACAGACTCTTCAGAAAGGGAAACACAAATAATCTTATAAATACATGAAAAGATGCTCAACCTCACTCATAAGACAGGTATAGATTAAAAATAACATTTCCACTCATCTCATTGGCAAAGATTAAAAACTTTGATAATATAATAATGGAGGATATAGGATAAAGGCCCTTACGTATTGTTGGTGAGGGTATCAAACGGTACAACCACCTTGAATACGGAATGCCAAACTTTATTTGCATATTCCCTTTGATCCAAAAGTTTCATCTCTAGGCCAGGTGCAGTGGCTCACACCTGTAATCCCAGCATTCTGGGAGGCTGAGGCAGGTAGATCACTTGAGGTCAGGGGTTCAAGACCAGCCTGGCCAACATGGCAAAACCTGTCTCTACTAAAAATACAAAGATTAGCCAGTTATGGTGGCACACGCCTGTATTCCCAGCTACCCAGGAGGAGGCTGAGGCAGGAGTATCGCTTGAGTGCCACTGCACTCCAGCTTGGGTGACAGAGCAAGGCTTCATTTCAAAATACAAAAACAAAAGAACCCAAAAGTTTCACCTCTAAAAATCTATCCTATAGATCAGTAGTGCCCAAAAGAAATAGGTATGCCACAAATGCAAGCCACATATAAAATTTCACATTTTCTAGTAGTCACATTAAAAAAGATAAAGATGAAATTAATTTTATGAATAAAGCAGATATATATTCATGCAGGTATATATTCATACTGAGGGAATGTGTTCTTTTTTCAGGTTTACAAGGGGGCGTAATTTTAAGGGCAAGAACTTCCCAGCACCATGACCCCCTCCCATCTCTCTCCATCCGGGAGATTTAACGGTTTCTGTTTTAATTTTCGAGGGTGCAGGAAGACTCAAAAAGTCAATCACTCCAGCGGAAGTTCTAAGGAACTCCTTTCATTGACCAGAGGTCTTAAAGAAACGCTTGTTACCAGTGCAGTCTAAAGGGACATTGTATAAAAAATTGTCCCCAAAGGAATGGACCACCATCTTTTCCATGCCTACTGTACCAAGGGAATCACTGAAAAGCACACTGTCCCAGGGGACAAAGGTTCCCAGGGCCTAAGGTATCTAAGCAAATAACCCAATGGCAGAACGAAGGGGGCCTAAAGCAAGTGCCAGCACAGCCATCACCCTCACAAAGCCCCAGATAAAGCTAATCATAAAGGTTCAAAAAGTTAATCTTCTCCTGAACACTGGCATGGCCTTCTCAGTATTTCTCTCCTGCCCTGGAGACTTGGTGCTTGTTAATTCTCTCCCCTCAAACTCTCCCTCTCTAGGCCCATCCTGGGAAGACCCATTTTCAGTTATTCTGTCTACTCCAAAGGCAGTTAAGGTGGTGGGAATTAACTTATAAATTCATCACACTCGGCTAAAGCTTTAAACACCTCCTAAAAAAAGTCATAAACCCTCCACTCCACAGCCTAAAGTTCCAGAAAACAACCCTTCGTACACCAGCAAGACATTAAAAAATCTAGATCTGCTTTTCCAACAAAATATTCAGGAAAGTAACCACTCAAAAGTCTAATTTATATCCTGGCATTAACAGAACTATAACCCTCAACTTTGCTATCTCTCAAACTCCAATTATCCTTTTCATAGTGATACACAATATGTAGAGTTTAACCTTGTGCTTAAGAAAAAAAGTGTGTATATTAAGTATATTAAGAAAAAAAGTGTGTGTGTGTATGTGTGTGTGTATTTGTGTTACGTACAGTTTAACCTTGTGCTTGTATATTAAGAAAAAAAGTTGTATGTGTTTGTGTATACACACTTTTTTGTATGTATACGCAAATACACACACACATACACACACCTTTCTTAATATACAAGCACAAGGTTAAACTGTACATATTGACTATATATACATGTGTATGTGTATATATGTACATCTATGTGTGTATATATCTACAAGTATATACATATGTACATACATACACATAGAATGAGAAGAGGGGAAGGGAGAAGGAGAAAGAGAAACATGGTTTGTAAGACATATTGTTGTGTGAAATAAGCAACAGATAAATAAGTACAGAATACTATTATATAGTACCCTAACATTTATGGGGAAAAAGATGGGGAAGTGACAAACACATATATGTTTATATATGCATGGACTATCCCTGAAAGGAAATGAAAATTGGAAACAGTATTTGCTTCTGAGAAAAGGTACTAGGGGACAGAGATGGGACAGATAACTTTTTACTGTTTAACTTTTTAACCTTGTGCTTATTTATTAAGGAAAAAAAATCATTGAGGGACCACTATGTGCCAAATATGTTCAACAGTAAATATGTTCTCTACCCAGAAACTTATATTTATGGGATGAGGAGGGTCAAAAAAATAAGATTATTCATTATAAAGAAACTAGACCCACAGCCTGAGCAACAAAACCAGACACTGTCTCTACTAAAAATAAAAAAATTAGCTGGGTATGGTGGCTCATGCCTGTGGTTGGAAGGCTGAAGCAGGAGGATTGCTTGATCCTGGAAGGTTGAGGCTGCAATTAGCTATGATTGTGCCACTGTACTCCAGACTTGGTGACAGAGCAAGACCTTGTCTCAATTAAAAAAAAAAAAAAGAAAGAAAGAAAGAGAGAAGAAAGAAAAGAAAGAAAGGAAACCAGACCCAGAACTTTAGGAGGCTGAGGTGGGAGGATTGCTTGAGGCAAGAGTTTGAGACCAGTGTGGGGACACAGTAAGACCCTGTCTCTACCAAAATAAAAAAGAAAAAAAGCAGGCAAGTGGTACATGCCCATAGCCCCAGCTATTTCAGAGGCTGAGGCTGGAGAATCCCTTTAGTTCAGGAGTTTGTGGCTACAGTGATCATATCACTGTACTCCAGCCTGGGCAACAGAGTGAGATCCCATCTCTCAAAAAAAAAAAAAAAGAAAGAAAAAGGAAGAATCAGTGATAAGTTCTGTGAAGGAAATAAGAGGACAAGAAACAGTCACTGACGGAAGCCACTTTATATAAGGTAGCCAGGGAAGGTCCTTCAAGGAAGCACTATCTGAGTAGAAACCCAAAGATGGCTCACGCCTGTAATCCCAGCACATTGGGAGGCTGAGGCAGGAGGATCACAAAGTCAGGAGTTTGAGACCAGCCTGGCCAACATGGTGAAACCCCGTCTCTACTAAAAATACAAAAATTAGTCAGACGTGGTGGCAGGCGCCTGTAATCCCAGCTACTCGGGAGGCTGAGGTAGGAGAATCGCTTGAAACCGGAAGGTGGAGGTTATGGTCAGCAGAGATTGTGCCACTGCACTCCAGCCTGGGCGAAAGAGTGAGCCTCCTTTCTTCTTCTTAAAAACGAAAAGAAAAAAGAAAAGAAGCAAGTTGGAAAGATCTGGAGAAGAGCAATCCAAGCAGAAGACAAAACAATTATAACAGCTCAGAGGTGGGAAAGGGCTTGCTATATTGGAGGAGCTGGAGACCAGAAGGGAGCAATGGTATGACCAGAAGATTGAAATGCTGATTTCTGCCAGTAAAACAGAGCTTGGTATGTCTGGAGTCTTTCAACACAAGAAGAAAAATAAATACAAGGACGCAGACTCATCACCCACCCAGAAGCCCCAAACGGTGGCTCAATACTGTGCTACATTCTTCTGTTTCCCCTCCAGAGCCACTTTTCACCCTTCTCAACTCTGCTTTCTGCCACAGATGCTGATATATCAAGTGGAATCTGGTGGCCAACAGGGAGCTCCAGCAGAAAGTCAGAGGGAGAGGAGGAGAGTGCAGACAAAGTACCATTCCTCTGGCTCTGTTGTTGAAAACTCCCATTCATTTTTCAAGTTCTCACTACAATGTGACCTTATGAAATAGTAAAGTATGGATTTAGGAAGGGATAGAGAAAGCAAGGACAATTAGAAATAAAAGAACTAAAGAAGAGATTTTTGTAATTGTACATATTGAGAAATAATAAATGCTATTAGAGATACACATTCTTTGAGGACCAGCCTCAGTGTTTTTAATTTTCTGTTCCCAATGTCTACCTCTGCTTTCCAGTATAGAAAACATACTCAGCACATATTATTTGAATTAAAAAGATGAACTATAAGATAAGCAAAGGTCAGGAATCCAAGGTTTACCTTGTATCCATTGTCTTCCTTCCGGTTGTGAGAAGCAGTAATCATCACACCTGCAACTGCTTTGAGCTTCTGAACTGCATATGGCTGAAAAATTAATAACAACATAATTACTTTTTGCTTCCTAGCTATTTACACATTTGACACCAGAATAACTTTGATTAAATAACAAGAAAAGCATTATAGTATAATATTGCTTTTGTTTATATCCTCTTTATTTTCTTTTTACTTAATCTTTCCTCATATCTTTATTAATTTCCTTCCTTTTCTTTTTTGAATTCCTTCTAACACAAACATATTAAGTGAAAGTTAACTCATTATTTTAAAATATTTTTTCCTTATATATTAATTAAGGCTATACATTTCCTTCTAAGGAGGGCTTTAGTTATATCCCATAATTTTGCTATGTATTGTTTTCATTATTGCACCGTTTTAAAAACTTACAGGTAGTCCTTGCTTTGCACAGTTTCTATACATGAATTACTGATACTGTGCTTTTGTTAAATAGCACCAGCCTCCAAACAACACTTTGAAATTTCAGTTACCATGGTAATGTTAACCATATCTGCATCAAGTATACACTTGGCTTCTAGCTCTTCAGTCCACACATCCTACATTTATAACAGAGACACATCATGATAAGTGACCAATCATGTCATTCTTTAAAAGTGTGTCAGTGGTCAGTCACTGAGCATCTCTTATTTAGCGCTCACACAAACTGCAAAACATGTGGCTCTATTGCCTCCTTTTCTCCCAGCAATAAACACACATGACAGTTTACAAAAATGGATAATGGAAAGTGGGAACTGGCCAACAAAGGTCAAAGTGCAGCAAAGAAGCAAAAATTGGTAATAATAGAGAAAAATTTGAATTGAACATAAATGGAGTTATAGAAAAAATAAGTGGGAATGCTGACACTGCTGCCATTCAAGAGACTTTAGACATGCTACTGGGGGAGTGTAGTGAAGGCGGACACATGGATTAAATGAGGAACGGGATTGTGATGAGAAGGATAAGATGTCCTGGAGGAAATGACAAAAAAAAACCCCTTCACATTAAAGGAACTCCCAGAGATATTTCATGACATTGAAATTAACAAAGGATAAGATGCTGGAAATGAATCCAAACTCAGAAAGGTGTATTAACAATTTGCCAAGGCACAGAAAAGAAGCTTGCTTGTAATACATATAAATTATAATCATAAGAAACAAGCTCTGTTTATCTCCTGATAAGGTTTATTTATTTATTCATTTGAGACAGAGTCTTGCTCTGTCATCCAGGCTGAAGTGCAGTGGCAAGATTTTGGCTCACTGCAACCTCTGCCTCTCAGGTTGAAGCAATTCTTGTGCCTCAGCCTCCTGAGTAGCCAGGATTACAGATGTGTACCACCATGCTTGGCTAATTTTTGTATTTTTAGTAGAGATAGGGTTTCGCTGTGTTAGTCGGCCTGGTCTTGAACTCCTGACCTCAGGCAATCTGTCTGCCTCGGCCTCCCAAAATGCTTGGATTATAGGCCTGAGCTGTTGCTCCCAGCCTCCTAAGTTCTTTTTATGAAGAAATAAAGCACTTTAGTTATCAATGTTTCTTAATGTTTTAAATTAAAAGGTACTAAATAAACATTAGTTTTACCATTTTTTTTCTTTTCCCTATACATTTTTAACCAAGAGTAAGAATGTTTTTAATGTTTTGGTAAAAAAATGTTAAAGGTCATGAAACAGTGATGATTTTTCTCATTGATGATTAAGATCACGTGGCATGGTTTTGGCTTGTACAGCTATCTTTATAGCCCCACACTACTGTGCAAAGCAAGGACTGCCTATAACTTCTAATCTGCATTATATTATCTTCCTTAATCCACAAATAGTTTATTAATTTATTTTTAATATTTCAAACATGGGAGGATTTATGGGCTTTTTATTTCTGATTTCATTGCATTGGGGTCCAGGTATATGGTTTGATAAGCAGTTCTTAGGCATTTATTGAGACTGTGATTCTGCTTATAATGTAAATCCTATTGTGACTCAAAAGAGCATGTTTACACATATACACACACACGCACACCCAAATCAAGCCTGTTGACAATGTGTTCGAATCTAACCTTCATCATTTTTGTCTGCCCAATGAATTAATTTCTGAAAGAAGAGTATTAAAATATTCCACTAAAACTGTAGACTTGTTAACTTTTATAGCTTAAGTTCTTAGCTAAGTTTAACAAATGTTTGTTGAATGAAAATAAACTCAAAGCAAAATTTATTTTCCTTCCATTGGTCCCTCATATTACGCAATACAGAACTACAAGCATGAAAATGATTTGAATCCTAGTTGATTTAAGAAATCTTTCAAGAGCAGCAAGCTGTATGATCACTAACACAACACACTTACTACAAAAGGTGTAGGAACATATCTTGAAAAAAGGTACACAGGAACATCTTTGGCCAGCAAGACTGCAGCAGTGAGTTTAGCAAGCCTAAAAAAAGAGACATTTCATTTAGTCCTTTACCTACCATGCTTTTTAAAAACCAACCTTCCACATAAATGTTTCATATTATAATTAGTCTGAATAAAGAGTAGCCTAATATATCCTGTTCTTATAATCACTGATTATTTAAACTTCATGCCCTAATTGGAAAATTTAAAATAAATAAGATTTTTTTTTAAAAAAGAGTTTAAAAATTAACATAACTGATATTTCAGTTTCCTCTTTTTCCCTCATTCATCTTTTTATGGCTCTTTTACTAAGAAATAAAATCTACAAAAGGCAAAAAGAATGTAAAAAGTGAAAGAAGAGACTTTGATAAGCCCAATATGCATTATTACTCCCTGAAGAAAGATATCATTACATCATGATTATCTATTTATGAAAATACCATAAAACTAATCAAATAGGCATATAATGAGAGAATATAAGCTACATTATTCTCCTACCCAGTGCATTTGCCAAAATATTAAAGTTATAATCTAGGATGTCATTCTAAATATGAACTCTAAATATTTTAAATTTTTACTCCTTTCTGGAAAATCTAAAGCTTTTCTTTGAAACACTTTTCTTCTATTTCAGCTCTAACTGAGCATGGGATCACATGTCTATCTGACAGTCTATTGTTTCATAAATCCTACTGTTGGACAAAAAATTTTTTAAATATGTTTTATTCTATTTCAACTTAATCTTTGAAACAATTAACTTTGTACCTCTGGCTGCTGCAGCTGCTAGTTACTTGACCCCGAGTGTCATATCCAACCACAAAGCCTCTCTGCTTGAAGTCTGAGAAACATCTCTCAAGGTATTTGTACATCCCCTGAAGCAAATAAACACAAAAGATTAGTCCTAATGGATGCTTGCATTTCATATGACTCAGAATCTCTTATTTTTATGTTTGGTGTGTAGCGTATTGGCTCCTAGGGAAGTAGCTTCTATCTTTAGGCCCGTGTTTACTAGTGTGGGAGCAATACAACATTTCCTGGATTTTCAGACAATCTTAATACCATGGAAATACAGATTTAGTAACGACTAAATCCAATTCAATAAGTAAAACATTAGGAAAAACAGAAGAAACATAAGCAACAATAAGCTAAAAAAAAAATGATTAGAAGAGCCAACATAAACTGTTTTTTGTCTCAAGGCTCTAGAGAACAGAATTTTGTCTTAAGTTCTTGCTAAATCATACGATTGAAGTTAACCAAAAGATTTGACCTGTTTATGATGCAAACATTTTTAATCAGCAACACAGTTCTTCACTAGAACATTTCTTGTAATGGTTGATCCCTCTGTAATTCTTTGGTTTTAAAATCTCACAGAAAAAAATATTATAGGCTAGGAAAATTTGCAGTCATGGATGACAAAAAAATGAAATGAAGTATTTCATATTGAAAACATCACAATGACAAACTAAAACCATTTAACTATCTTATGAATGATTTGCTAATTTTAATACTTTAATATTTAAAATAATTTTTTTAAACATTTTATATTACAGTCCTTTAAAATTAGTTCCACAGAAAGATGGGACATTTAATCATAACAACCCTGAAAAGAAAGAAAATGCAGACATCATTTCTAATTTGGTCTCTTTCAATATCTCTTTTAAAAAGAGGAGACTCTAAGATTAAAGCTGCATGTAGTGTCTTGCCTAAGGGCATTCATTCAACTAAAACTAAGTTATACTAACTTATTGAAGACCTATTATATGGCAGACACTGCTAAATAAGTATGTGGTAGCACCAGACAAAGCCCCAGTGACTTTTGGTGCCTGAATCTCTCAAGTACAATTAATTTTCCCAATCTATAAGCTATGAGTGCGTGCATGCTTAGCATAGCAGCTAGATTCAACAATTTATTTCTAATGATGATACTATCCTAAAACCTCACAGACCCTCATATTATTCTCTGCTATCAGAATCCGTCTTATTTCCCTATATGTGTTGGTTGGTAGAAAAGTAATTGTAGTTTTTACCATAAAAAAAAAAAAAAAAAAAAAGACCAAAACTGCAATTACTTTTGCACCAACCTATGACATCTGAAAAGGGCTAGTGCTTAAGAATCAGATTCCATGGGGCTTTTCCACTTCACACAATGGAATCCCAAATCCAGTAAAAATTTGCACTTCCGTAGAAATTGATTTTCAAACACCTCCCCCACCTCTCTTTGTAAAGTCAAGAAATCTTCACTTTGAATGAAATCATATGAAGAGTCTAAATGTATAAGAAAAGAATGAACTAAAGCATCTCTGGTTGGGGAATGGGGGTGGGGCGGGTAAGGAAGGTGGCAGGTATCCTACCTATTCAGCCATCCCGTCATTCCTTCTCTCTCGCCCCTGCATTAGCCCTTGACTTTAGAGAATTCTCTCAGAATAAGGCAAAAGATGATTTACTACTTGGGAGTATCAATTAGAATTATGTCTACTGAACAATTCTCTAGCCCAGAGCTATTTTTAGTATATGCTAAATACATTATTGGCCTCAAAAGTGTAGTTATTTGAAACAGGATGATTCACTGCAAAGAGAAGCAATTTGTTTCTAGAGTAAGCAGCATAACTATGGAGAGAAATAAAATGAATTGTATCGTATTACATAATTAACTCTCATATGGATATAGAAAATCATAATAAACAAAAATATTTTCAACTAAATTTTCCAAATACTCTGGTTAACCTTTATGAATGGCCATATACCAAAATGAGTAATTATTTTCTTCTATCTAAGTTTGTTTCTTTGTATTAACTGGATATGCCAATATACATTTCTTGTTTTTAAATGCAAAGTAACATTGTCAAGAAGTTAACAATGGTAACCAAAATAACTCTTAATCAGAAAGTCAGTCAGTGACATGAAGATATATAAATGACTTCTAAAATCTTAAGGAAGACTAAAGGTCAGAATTAAGTCTACAGTTTTTACTTACATAAGAGTAACTTCTAGGAAATAAAGCTTTGTGTGTGTGTGTTTAGAAAGGCATTACCTAATTTATAAAGCAAAACAAATAAACAAACAAACAAAAAAACCAGACTGAGAAAAAGTACACTCTTAATTTTTTCTTTTTGAGACAGAGTCTTGCTCTGTCACCAGGCTGGATGGCGTGATCTTGGCTCATTGCAACCTCTGCCTCCCGAGTTCAAGCGATTCACCTGCCTCAGCCTCCCAAGTAGCTGGGACTACAGGCATGCGCCACCATGCCCGCTAATTTTTGTATTTTTAGTACAGACAGGGTTTCACCATGTTGGCCAGGATGGTCTCGATCTCTTGACCTCATGATCCACCCGCCTTGGCCTCCCAAAGTGCTGGGATGGCATGAGACACCATGCCCAGCTAGAAATACACTCTTAATACTTTATAATACTTACCTGTGTTGACTGTATTACTGTAAGGTCATTAATATAGCAGAACCCTGCCCCCATGGCAGAGCGAAGTCCTGCAGTCCCAAAAGTCATTCGGCAACAAAGACGATCTCGCAGCTCCTTGTTCATCCCATTCCGTAACAGGTTTTCAATCTGCTCTTTTGTTTTGGGATTCTATAAAAAAGAAGTATTAAAACTTAACCAGGATCACAAGCAGAGACCTAATATGAAGTTCTGAGGAGCCAATATGCACATATCACAAGGTTCAACATTCAGTAGAAATTCCACAGTGCTACTTCTTTGTATGTATAATAAAATAATACCTGCCATTCACTGAGTCCCCAAAGGAGAAAGGGCCTGTTGAGGGTGATTTACATACCTCTAAATTTTGTAGCATTTGTATAGCATATTAGAGAACATTCTTTTTAAAAATTTGATAAATATCAGAGCTATAGATCCAAAATAAACCTCTTAGTAAAAAATGACATCAATTAAGTTAGAGTCTATGTTAAGTTTCAATCATAGTTCACTGTAACCTCAAACTCCTGGGCTCAAGTGATCTAGCCTCAGCCTCTTGAGAAGTTGGGACTACAGCTATGTGCCATCATGCATGGCTAATACATTAAGTTTTAAGAGAAATAGAGATACTACTGGATAAATACCATTAAAACATGCCTACCAGTTACCTACTTAGACCTCTGCAATTCAAAATGAACAGATATTCCTTTCTACTCCTTAAAAATCACAGAAAACTATTCAATTTATCTATGGCACAAGTTGACCATAAAAATGCTTTATGTGTTAAGTGTGAACTTAATTAAGAATGAGAAAAATTCATTCCAAACATGGTTTGTGAGGCAGGGCATGCCAACATCTATATTAGGGATTCTGTATTTCATTATCATGTACTTTAACTTATTTTCATAAATCTCAAGAATAGCTGTCACTGAAAATGGTGCTTCACAAAAGAGTGTCACGTTTCAAATAGAAATGCAATTATAATAACAGTAAGACTTACATAGAATTTTCCAGTATTTTCTTTTTGGAAAAGTCAAATATTAAGAAAATGAGATGAAACACAACTTCTATCTTCAACATTAATATGAATTGAGTTCATACTGTTTACTTCTTCAACATCTACACAATGATGATGAATATTCAGAGTAATAAACCAGTGCACATGAAAGGTGCTAAATATTACAGTATATTTGTCCTTAGAAAGACATAAAAACATATTAATATACAATTTAAACAAAATGGTTTTCTGGTTACAATAGAAATTAAAGTAACCAGAGTACATGGCCAAACTAATGAGAAGGTGAATGAGATTAACTGAAATTTTAATCTGCTTAAAACTAATGGATGTTAAAGCATATAGATATATAATCCTGACTCAAGGAGTTTCTGTTTCATAAACAGCATACACTAACAAATACACAACCTACGTAAAAATATGAATAGCTATTAAGAGAAAAATATGAATAACAATATCTGGGGTACTATCATGGCTAAGACACCACCAGATTTTACAGAGAAGTCAGAGACTTGAAGAGGGCTAACATTTAAAGATGGGCATAAGAATGGCAAAAATTGAATGAACTCTTCATGTGTCAAGAGTATATGGTACTGTAATACCCTGCTTGTAGGAATGTAAATTGGGATAGTCTTTCCACAGTGGTTTTACAGCAAGTATCAAATTTTAAATTGCACATGCCTTTGGCTCATAGATTTCTGTCCACAGCAATAATTTCACATGAACAATAATATTTATTCATATAAGAACATTCATTGCAGCATCGTATGGGTAGTGTTATTATTAATATTACTATTGTATAGATGAAGAAATGAAGATTTAGAAAGGAAGCCTAGTATACTGAGCTGGTACTGGAAATTTAGATAGGATGGGAACCCAGGCTGGTCTGGCTCTAAAACCTATACCATCTCACCATAAACAAACAAAATAATTGGGTTGGGTGTGTTAATAATGCTTCTGATAACAATTTAACTCCAGTTACAAAGCAGAATGATATTCCTTTTTATTACAAGATATATATACATATATATGCATATGTGTTTATACACACATGTACACACACACACATATAAATGATCCACCAGACATAAATGCTATTGGTTACTAAGTATACTTCTTAATGTTTAATTGCACAGCTACTAGAGTAGGGCCTAAAAATTCCGTTCCCAATTACAGACTTCACAACCAGTACTAACCTAATTCCTGGTTGTTGAAAAGCTTGAAAGTTAGAGAAAAATAAAAACGAATAAAGAATAAGGACATACTAGACATGATAAATACATTTGTATGGCAAAAAGAGCTAAATAATCAAATGGGCATTTGAAATCTACTTTAAACTCAGATTTCTCCACTATTTAACAGTGAGACATTAAATTAGATGTTGATGTTATAAACTTCCAAAAATATAGCCTAAAAACTATCTATGCAGCCATAATTATCACATATTCTCCATTCAGATAAAATTACATTTGTATTTTTTTGGCTAGTCATTATATCACTATGATTTTTTATAAACTATAATATATGAAGATTCTAAAGAATTATAAACCAATTATTTTTAAATGAAATTTCCATGTAAAACTCAGGTATAGTAAATGAAAAGGAGAGCAGAAGAGTATACACAGTGTTTTCATTTATATACAAAGAGGTATGCATTTTTTTTGAGGTATGCATATATTTATATATCATCCAGAAGTATTCCATGCAAATATAAGAAACTAAAAATAGTGATTACCTCTGAAGGGGATATTAGACATGGGGTTTCAAGAAGAAAAGGGACTTATATTTAATGGACAGCCATGATACTGTTTGGATATTTTATGTATATATTATATATATATTTTTTTGAGATGCAGTCTCGCTCTGTCACTCAGGCTGGAATGCAGTGACACGATCTCAGCTGACTGCCACCTCTGCCTCCCAGGTTCAAGCGATTTTCCTGCCTCAGCCTCCCAAGTAGCTGGGGCTACAGGTGCACACTGCCATATCTGGCTAATTTTTTGTATTTTAGTAGAGACAGGATTTCACCATTTTGCCTAGGCTGGTCACGAACGAACTCCTGAGCTCAAGCAATCCACTGGCCTCGGCCTTCCAAAGTGGTGGGATTACAGGCGTGAGCCACCGTGCCCGGCCATATATTACTTTTTTATGGTAAAAACTAGTTAGGTATTCGTGATGGCTGAGAAAAACCACTACTTGTGTGTCTATGTGAACAATTTTTTACCTCACAAATGCTCTCCTTTTCCCACTCACAGAAAGCTACTGATAAGATCTGAATCTATAAAACATATATTGGAGTTCTCTAAAATGCAAATTATTGTTTGCTTTCTAAATGTGTGCGCTTGTTTACAATTCATTGATTACTTGGAGGTAGAAGCCTGGTCAGAAAAAAAAAGGACGAAGACAGTAGGAAAGCTATTTGACTGACCTGCTTTTGAGAAATACTCACACGAGGCTGGGCACGGTGGCTCACGTCTGTAATTCCAGTACTCTGGGAGGCCGAGGCAGGCAGATGACCTGAGGTCTGGAGCTTGAGACCAGTTTGGCCAACATGGCGAAACCTCGTCTCTACTAAAAATACAAAAATTAGCCAGGCGTGGTTGTGTGTGCCTGCAGTCCCAGCTACTCAGGAGGCTGAGGCAGGAGAATGGCTTAAACCCAGGAGGCGGAGGTTAGAGTGAACTGAGATCACACCACTGCACTCCAGTCTGGGCAACAGAGCGAGACTCCATCTCAAAAAAAAAAAAAAAAAAAGAAAGAAAGAAAGAAAAGGAAAAAGAAATATATACACTGATCTATTATATAAAATGAAAATTAATTATTTAGAAAGTAAATGCATTCATCTGAAATAAATTTGCTTTTAACTACCATATCTTGGAATCCTAACAATTTTAGTACTCCAAAAAAGTAATCCTGTAGAAAAATCCAAGAGATTTTAGTGACTACTAGCATTTTCTGTACTTCATCAATCATAAAGCTAATTGTTTAGTATGAAATCAGTAAGCTACAGAATATAGAAAAAAAGCCATGCAATATTTTCAAATTTTACCTGTATACCAAAAATTTTCCTTTAGGTTCTAATCCTATGGATTGCTTCAACTTTACATGGCTGAAATGAAGAAAAGAAATTATCTTCTTACATAATACTTGTGGAGTTTTCTTTTTTCCATATTGTAAATCCATAAGGCCCAAATTCAAAGAAAACATGAAAGAACTGATTTTTTAAAAACCACTTAAAAAAAAGGTAACTTCTTACAAACTTTCATAGACGTGAAGAAGGTTACATGCCAGACCAAAAGTCACATCAACTCTGCCTGCTATCCAATGAAAGTATTAACATTAACTTATGAAGGATCATTTTGAACATGCCCAAGCTTTTCTGAACCTATTCTGTTCATAATTCATAACTAGGGACTTCTTAATATTACTTATGTATAATAAATATAAATGTACATAAAAGAGTGTAAAAAAGTAATCAAGTTTGCCAATGAGAAGTGTGTTAGTTTGTCTGTGTTGGTATAAAGGAATACCTGAGGCTGGGTAATTTATGAAGAAATGAGGTTTATTTGGCTCACAGTTCTGCAGGCTGTACAAGCATTGCACCAGCATCTGCTCCACTTCTGGTAAGGCCTAGGAAGCTTTTAGTCATGGCAGAAGGGAAGGATAACCAGCCTATCACATGGTAAGGGAAGGAATGAAAGAGAGCTGCCAGCCTCTTCAACAACCAGCTCTCACGTGAACTAACATAGTGACAACTCCTTATTATCACCAGCAGAGAACCAAGCTATTCATGAGGGAATCAACCCCATGACCCAAATGCCTTCTACCAGGACCCACCTCCAATATTGGAGGTCACATTTCAACATGAGATTTGCAGGGGACAAAACAGCCAAACCGTATTAAAGAGTTTAACCTGTAAATCTTTTTTCCTATCTTATAAACCCACTATTTTACTTAGCTTATAAACCTACTATTTTAATAATTTTAACACAATTTGAATCTACTTTATTAGTATTCTTGTACAAAACCTAACAGCTTAAATACACTCAAAAACATGAATCGCATTGTTTAGAATATTGGAACAGATCTAAAAGAACATAATATATATTAAAAATCCCAAATTCAGACTGGGTGTGGTGGC